AAAAAAAAAAAAGAATAATAAATTACCATGGGAATTCAGAACAACGCCATATAGACCCCTCTCTTGGTAGCACAGAAAGGCAACATCCAAGTTTTTATTAATGTGAATTTTTATTCTTTTTTTATTTTCTGAGACAGAGTCTCACTATGTCGCCCTCAGTAGAGTGCCGTAGCGTTACAGCTCACAGCAACTTCAAACTCTTGGGGTTAAACAATTCCCTTGGCTCAGCCTCCCAAGTACCTGGGACTATAGGTGCCTGCCACAATGCCTGGCTATATTTTGTTGCAGTTGTCATTGTTCAGCTGGCCTGGGCTGGGTTCGAACCCGCCAGTCTCTATCTATATGGCTGGTGCCATAACCACTGTGCTATGGGCACTAAGCCTAATGTGAGTTTTTGTTTGTTTGTTTGTTTGTTTTTTAATTTTTTTTAATTAAATGATAGCTGTGTTTATTAATGCAATCATGGGGTACAGTGTGGTGTTTTCATATACAATTGAAATATTTTCATCAAACTGTTTTTTAATTTTCTAACGTGAGTTTTTAAAACAAGCATCCATACCAGGTGGGAGGTGAGGAATGGAGAAGAGGGTAAGAAAGGGGGAAAGAATTCTGCTCTATTGCTAATAAAGCTCCAGGTTCATCCCAGGTTTATCTCATCATGGATTTTATAGTCCCCCAGAGACACATGGTCCTTAAAAACCACGTACCACTTCTTCAGGACAGTCTTGTTCCAATGGGTGTCAGTTTGGGCTGCAAACAGTTTCTTAAGGTCCCCAGTGGTGTCACTGGTGTTATATTTAACATGCACCTTCTTCCCCAGACAGTCATTGCAAATAACCTTGATCATCCTGGCTGGAGATCTAATCATCTTGAATTTGTAGAGGCCACAACCTCTTCTCTCAAGCGCTGAACCCTGACCTTAAATTTTTAATTTTTTGTAGCAATAAGGTCTTGCTTTGGTTTCAAACTCCTAGGCTTCAGCGATCCTTGCACCTTGGCCTCCCAGAGTGCTGGGATTACATTCATAAGCCTTTGCTGCTGGCTAAGAACCTCTTTCTCTAAATCAATGGGAGTTGAACAAAAATGGTTAGGGGAATTTTGGGAAATAGTGGAAGTAGAGTCTCCACCATTGGACTTAGCTAAGGGAGCACATGGCAAGGATGTACTCAAAGGAAACACAAGGTAGGAACAGGAATAGGTGAATTCCTGTTCACCAATTCTGTGATGTAAAAACTTTAGGCTCGTGCAGCGCCTGTAACTCAATGGGTAGGGTGCCGTCCCCATATACCAAGGGTGATGGGTTCAAACCCAGCCCTGGACAAACTGCAACAAAAAATAGCTGGGTGTTGTGGCAGGTGCCTGTAGTCCCAGCTACTCGGGAGGCTGAGGCAAGAGAATCGCTTAAGCCTAGGAGTTGGAGGTTGCTGTGAGCTATGTGATGCCACGACACTCTACTGAGGGCAATAAAGTGAGACACTGTCTCTAAAAAAAAATTTTAGGCTCTGGTGGTGCCTGTGGCTTAAAGGAGTAGGGCACCAGCCCCATATACCGGAGGTGGCGGGTTCAGACCCAGCCCCGGTCAAAAACTGCAAAACAAAGCAAAACAAAAACTTTAGGCTGGTGGCCAGTGCAGTGGCTCATGCCTGTAATCCTAGCACTCAAGGCCAAGGAAGGTGGATTGCTTGAGCTCACAAATTTGAGACCAGCTTGAGTATGAGCAAAACCTTGTCTCTACTAAAAATAGAAAAACTAGCTTTATGTTGTGGTGGGTGCCAGTAGTCCCAACTACTGCTACTTGGGAGGCTGAGGCAAGAGAATCACTTGAGCCCAAGAGTTTGAGGTTGCTGTGAGCTATGACAACATATCACTCTAGCCAGGGCAACAGAGTGAGAATGTGTCTCAAAAAAAAAAAAATACTATAGGCTGGTAAATTTTCTTGAGAAGCCAACCATTTCCCTTTTTTGCTACTTTTCCTAATTCTGATATTCCACTCCCCACTGACCCTCCATGTCCCAAAACCTAATGACTATTCGATGCCATGAGCTACCCACTCACAGTCTCATATGCAGTATTTCCCCTGGTTTACCAGCTCCCTGTCCCCTGCTGCAACTTCTATGCCCAACCTTTAGCTCACTGATCCCAACCAGTTGTTAAAGAAGGAAAATAGCTCCATAAGCTATTTCTTACTAAGATGTAAATGACTAAGCCACTAACTTTATGTATTTTCTTCTCAGGGATACATACCCTTAAAAGAAATTATTTATTTGCCAGGTGTATGTTTGGTATAATAACAAATATATAAAAATAAATCCTGGGCTCGGCACCTGTGGCTCAAGCAGCTAAGGTGCCAGTCATATACGCCTGAGCTGGCAGGTTCGAATCCAGCCTGGGCCTGCCAAACAATGACAGCTGCAACCAAAAAACATCAGGGCCTTGTGGCAGGCTCCTGTAGTCCCAGCTACTTGGGAGGCTGAGGCAGGAGAATCGCTTGAGCCCAAGAGTTGGAGGTTACTGTGAGCTGTGATGCCATGGCACTCTACCCAGGGTGACAGCTTGAGGCGCTGTCTCAAAATGAATAAATAAATAAATACATACTGGAAAAAAGTATGCAAACAATGATAGTTTTTAGGTTGGGAGGATACATTTTCCTTTAAGTTTCCTCAAATACTGATCTTTTTTTATTTTTTGCAGTTTTTGGCCATGGCCAGGTCTGAACCCACCACCTCCGATATATGGGGCTGGCGCATTACTCCTTTGAGCCACAGGCACCGCCCTGATCTTTTTTTTTTTTTTTTTTTTTTTTTTTTGAGACAGAGCCTCAAGCTGTTGCCCTGGGTAGAGTGCTGTGGCATCACAGCTCACAGCAACCTCCAACTCCTGGGCTCAAGCGAGTATCCTGCCTCTGCCTCCCAAGTAGCTGGGACTACAGGCACCTGCCAAAACGCCCAGCTACTTTTTGGTTGCAGCCATCATTGTTGTTTGGTGGGCCCAGGCTGGATTTGAACCCACCAGCTCAGGTGCATGTGGCTGGCACCTCAGCCGTTTGAGCCACAGGCGCCAAACCTCAAATACTGATCTTATAGTGTATTTAATTAAAAACAAAAGCATGGAAAAGATATAGGGAAAACACTTGAAGATATCGGCCTGGGGAAAAACTTTATGAAGAAGACTTCCCTGGCTATTGCAACAACAACAAAAATAAACAAATGGGAGTTAATTAAACTGAAACGTTTCTGTACAGCTAAGGAAGAACAACCAAAGCAAACAGACAACTTTCAGAATGGGAGGTGATATTTGCATATTACGAATTGGAGAAAAGCTTGATAACTAGGATCTACAGAAACTCAAGTTAATCAACAAAAAAAGACCCAACAATTCCATATATTGCTGGGCAAGAGATATGAATAGAACCTTCTCTAAAGAAGACAGATGAATGACTAACAAACATGAAAAAATGTTCATCGTCCCTAACCATCAGAGAAATGCAAATCAAAACTACGCTGAGATATCACCTAACCCAGTGATAATGGCCCACATCACAAAGTCTCAAAGCTGCAGATGCTGGTGTGGATGTGGAGAGAAGGGAACACTTTTACGCTCCTGGTGGGACTGAAAACTAATGCAACCTTTTTGGAAGGCAGTATGAAGAATCCTCAAAGAACTCAAATTAGACCTCCCATCTGATCCTGCAATCCCATTACTAAGCATCTACCCAGAAGAAAAAAAATCCTCTTATCATAAGGACATTTGCATTAGCCTGTTTATCACAGCTCAATTTACAATTGCCAAAACATGGAAACAATGTAAATGCCCACTAACCAGGAATGGATTAACAAGTTGTGGTATATGTATATCATGAAATACTATTCAGCCATTAAAAAAGATGGAGACTTTACATCTTTAGTATTAACATGGATGGAAGTGGAACACATTCTTCTTAGTAAAGCATCACAAGAATGGAGAAACAAGAATCCAATGTGCTAAATTCTAATATGAAGACAGTAGATGAGCTAAAACAAGGGGTGGGGTAGGGAAATAAGGGAGCAGCATGGTATATGGCACACCTTTGGGGGTGGGACACAATTATAAGAGGGACTTAATCTAACAAATGAAATCAATGTATCCTAATTCTTTGTATCCTCAATGAATCTCAAACAATAAAATAAAATACAACAAAATAGCAAAGCAGGCTCAGCGCCTGTAGCTCAAGTGGCTAAGGGACCAGCCACATACACCAGAGCTGATGGGTTCGAATCCAGCCTGGGCTCGCAAAACAACAATGACAACTACAACCAAAAAATAGCCGGGTGTTGTGGTGGGCACCTGTAATCCCAGCTACTTGTGAGGCTGAGGCAGGAGAATTGCCTGAGCCCAGGAGTTGGAGGGTGCTGTGAGCTGTGCCTCCACAGCACTCTACCCAGGGCAACAGCTTGAGGCTCTGTCTTAAAAAACAAAAAAATGCAGGGAGGCACCTGTGGCTCAGTGAGCAGGGCGCCGGCCTCATATACTGGGGGTGGTGGGTTCAAACCCAGCCCTGGCCAAACTGCAACAAGAAAAGAGCAGGGCGTTGCTGCAGATGCCTGTAGTCCCAGTTACTCGGGAGGCTGAAGCAAGAGAATCACCTAAGCCTAAGAGCTGGAGGTTGCTGTGAGCTGTGATGACGCAGCACTCTACCCAGGGTGACAAAGTGAGACTCTGTCTCTTAAAATAATAATAATGATAATAAAGCAAAATAGGCCAGGTGCAGTGGCTCATGCCTATAATCCCAGCACGTGGAAGGCTGAGGTAGATGGATTGCCTGAGCTCACGAGTTTGAGACCAATCTGAGCAAGAGTGAGACCCTATCTCAAAAAAAATAGCCAGGCATGGCTCAGCACCCATACTTCAGTGAGTAGGGCACTGGCCACATACACCAAGGGTTTGAGCCTAGCCTGGGCCTGCTAAACAACAATGACATCTGCAACCAAAAAAAAAAAAACAAAACAGCCAAGTATTGTGATGTGTGTCTGTCGTCCCAACTACTTGGGAGGTTGAGGCAAGAAAATCACTTGAGCCCAAGAATTTGAGGTTGCTATGAGCTATGATGCCACAGCACTCTACCAAGGGTGACAAAGTTAGACTGTCTCAAAAAAAAAAAAAGCATAGTAAAATAAAACAAAACAAAAGCATGACATTAATGCTCATTCCAACTAGGATGTGCATAACTATAGAAGAGGAAGATGATTTCTGCCAGACATTTGGGGGCCCTTTCTGAGAGGTCTTTGCATCTGATCTGTATTAACTGTCCTTGGAATATAGTGGACCAGGAATGGCTCCTGGACCTGGTTTCCAGAGATTTTTCCACCTGCTTTTATTGCTTTAGTGTTTCCCTTGTCTTCTTTCTTCACTACACTCCAAAAAAAGAGTGTTTCTTCCTCTTAATAACAGCAATTACAGAAAGGATAGGGGATATTTCCAGACCATTTTCAGCTGGGCAGCTCCTGGAAAATGACTGGATTCAAAACTAGGCCTGGGGAAGAGGGAGAAAACATTACAACTGTAAGGCATACCAGTGAGAGTAACAGAGGCAGGGTCATCTGGCTGGAGGTTAAAACACACCAAACAACAAGAATTAGATTAAACAATAATAGGTGGTTTAGAGATAGAAGATTAAAGTCCAAAGTACCAGTGGATTGGCTTCACCCAGACTGGGAAAGAAAGAGTCAGTGTGTGACAGATACAATTAATGAGACTGAAACAAAGATATCTCCAGCTCACAGAAGGTATTTCCCCATATTTCCTAACTCTCTTAGAGTTAGGTAGAGCCATTTGTAGTTCTGGGCAATGGGCTGGAAGAAGTGATAGGTG